CTCTCTCTCTCTCTCTCTCTCATTTGGAAAGGATCTCCACTCGAGCTGCGTGGCTGCGCCCAGCTTAGAGCCACAAGCATACGTAGTGGTAGGAGCATTTAAAACCATTTAAAGGACAATGTGCAGCTGAGTTCGAGCGCGGGAAAATCGCCACGCTCCATCTCAGCACTGTAGACTCGAAGTGCTGTTAAACCTCCAGGAACGACAAAATCAGTGGGAGACATTCACTGACCATGAACACCTGCCTCCCTCAGATTGACGCAGCGGGCGACGACAAAGCGGACAAGTTGAGTTCCTGTAGAACCAGTCGCTATGCGCTAACCATAGTCACAGTCAAGCAGCAAGAGTAGCGGCAGAATCATGCCGTCTGCATTCATGATCAAGCCAAGTGAGAAATCCCGCTCCCTGCAGCACGAGCTTGTTCCAGACAGCTCCGGTGAAATTGATGACCACAAGCCTCCAACACAAGAGATCCTACTATGCAGCCATGCCGGATGAATGTGTTGAGGCCTACATGCAAGACAAGCCGGAAATAATAGTAAACATCACCGCTCACCAAATGGTTGTTTTGCAACATCTTACGGCCGCTCTGCAGCCAAGAAGCAGTGATGACATCGCATGAACCATTGAAGCAGATTGGGCAGTCCTCGCTGGTCCCGGCCTTGCAGCACATCGGATCACGGAAATACACAGGAGAGGCAACCGGCCAACAACACTCCCCTACGAGCTGTAGCGAAGCTGACATCTTTCGACCATGTTGAGACCAGCAGCGGCAACGACTTCTTGGCGCCGCTTTGTGGCCAGGGCCTTCTTGCAATGGAATGCACGTGGTTTCAAGTCCCTGCTTCGCTGACATCTCGCGGAACACTCAATACTTCGGAACTTCGCCTGATACCAGTAGCTTCACAGCTTCGAAACACTGTCAGATACTGTCAGAAGCTGCGCCACCCCCGGCGGTTGTTCCGTGTTCCCTTTACGGGAAATTGCCAACTTAGAGCAAAGGAGTTGTCCTTTCCCGCCTAGTTTCGCGGAACTTCCGTGGCCGAACTGCCTTCTAGGCGAGCTTGTACTTCCGCTGTGCTTTCACGGGATTTGCGCGCAGTGTACTGTTCACTGAACCTCAAACTTGCAAAGTTGAAGCACCTAGCGTGATGTGCTCCCGACACTCTTTGGCTTTCACCCCGAGCATTGTTGACCAAAGTTCCGCACGCCCCATAACTCTATCCTTCTTAACTTCATGTAAGTCGAGTTGGTCGTCCTCAAGACCTCAGTCTTGCTGCCAGTCATTGGTGTGTACATCGTCGTAGCAATGACGCAGGCGGGTGAGCAGAGGGAAAGCGGTGTCACTCGATCACTCATGCAGTAGGAATCACAGGATTGTTTTAAGGCCGAGAAGTAAAAGCACTCACAGGTATCTGAATGAACTCTGAGCCCAAGTTGGTTTCCCACCCTTTAACACTCTCCCCCAGCGATGAGGCCACACTTGAGTCAGTCAAATGACTCATGTTTCTCCTTCAAGCTGATTCTCAATGTGTCACGACGAAAATGCGATTGCCTTTGCTGTGGCCGGGCCGTTCCTTACCGGATCGTTTAGGATGAGCTTTTAAACCAACTCAGAACTCACCCTGGCAAAACAACTTCGACATTAATACAAGATGCTTGCTTGTACACTAACCTGCCGAGACTGGTGACAGTGCTTGGATCCGACCGTTGATTGGCTGACGGATGGCGCTCGGACACCTTTACGTCGCGGCCTGGAAATGCCTTGCCGATGACTCAGCAACGCGTAGGCAGGCAACGTCAGCAGCATCATTGCTTGGCGTGCAGTACCTTTGCAATTCCTACTGAGACATTGATCAACATGACATCGTTCCGGTAAGGATCTCGTCTATAAAAGTCGGATAACAGCTGTTGCGACCACGTAACAATACCGCTGCCACTTGTCCACAGTCAAGATTCCACAAAGCATACAGCACGCCTCGGTCAGTGCCGGAAAGCTCGTTGTTGCCGATACTGCAAGTTGGTGAATCTGCTATGCCGTGAGCCTCTGCGACACCAAAAAATGGCACTCTGTCAGCCGCTCGAGATGCGGCTTAGCTGCACAGTGCAGCAGCTGTAGTGGTTTTGCCAGTCCCGGGAGGGCCGTGGATCAGCGACAAAGCATCCTGGCGTGTGAAGGCTCCACGATGCTCTGAGGTTGAATCTGTCAGCATCTGCTCCTCTAAGGAGCCGCGAACCGCCGCTTCCTGAGGAGGATTCAAGCGCCAAGGCTTCAGGTCCATGCCTGGGCAGCGATGCTCGCTCAAAAAAGCAAATTGACCGTTGTCTTCCACCGCATCAGCAACCGGGAACGTAACATCTCTCAAAACTCGCCGGTGTCATAAAAGGACTCTCGCAAGAGGCCATGACCGGCCCTCGGCCGCTTCTCAGAAACGGCACTACCAGAGCCTCGGACCGCTTCTGCGACCTGATGCCTTTACCTGCGACCCTGTCGATGGCTCGTACTCGACCCGCTTGGATGCAATCTAGTGTTGTTGACATTACTTGAAGCAATTGTATTCTAGAAGTTAAAGCTAGGATGCAATGAGTACAGTTTGCGAAACTGGACTACCGTTGACAGGTCCAGAAGCATAACACGACAGTGTAGGTGCGCTTGATGTGCTTACGTTCACAGAACGGGCAATGCCTGTGAGCAGCCTTTGCATGTTGAGTACTCGTCGCCCAGTAATCGCTGCGATCCTTTGCACGCGGAATGTCGGCGGACATGGTGCAAGGAACCAGATGAGCCTGGAGCCAAAAAGACGTGCAATGGCAGATCTCGCAAACGGCGACTGCCGAACTGCTGGTCATGAGTCTTTGCAAAAGCCCAGCTTCACGGTGGGGGGCGGGTTAATTAGGGTCAAGCGAATAAATGAAGGCTAAGGTGTCTTCCATGAATGCGGGTGGACGTGTGACAACTGTATGTTGCATCTACTAACCCAACCTCGCGTATTGCAACAACATCAAGTTCCAAACGGCCAAGGTGATAATCTAGAACTCTCTCTCTCTCTCTCTCTCTCTACTCCAGTCATCTTAGACTAGCATGAACTGTTCATCCTGAGCAACCACACGGACTGCAAAGGACCGCACTGCCTGCAAGAAAGTCAAGCTTGGAAGCCGGCTCTTTGCAAAAGACTCCTGCGCTTCCGAGTGCCAGGAAGCCTTCAAGGAGCTGTATGGGTCTGGCATCGGGTTGCAAGAGTGCTGCGGGCTTTGCAAGGTATCGATGACCCAGGAGACTCTATCCCGCCTGGGCAGGTTGTGGCTTACTTATTCTGGCTCTAAGTGCGGATTTCTACAACCCTCGACATTTTCCAGAGGCTGCCTCGTCGTCAAGGCATCGCTGCGAAGCTGCAGGGCCAGGGCGGCCAGGTGCTGGTGCCCTGGCCTGAAGGACGACCTGACGCAAGTCTTCAAGCCGACGATGGAGTTTTCCGATGGATCAGTAATCACGGCGATTGTCTGGCTCTACACCATGGCAAAACCTCGGAAAAATGTCACCCAGCGGGGATGCATCAGGGAACGGAGCATGCTTTGGAAAACTTTCGACTTTCTCCTCGTGCAAACTTGAAGTCTGTGGGTCATTCACAGCAGGAGGACAGTGGCGATCCGTGCGGACCTCAAAACGTCCCCTGCTTGTAGCAAAAACCCAGGTGGTCAAAGAAAGAGCGGCCTTTGGGGTAAATGCGCGATGAGTAATCCACGCCCGAAGCCGTGAGGTCCACCCCACCCACATTCACGCAATCATGAGCACTCACAGCATATTGCTCCATGCGTTAGAGCAAGGTGTGCACACTGTAGTCAGTATTTGCCGCGATAACACGGCACGACAAAAAAGGCAAAGGAACGAGCATGGCCAGCCAGGCCCCATGACTGCGATTCTACACCGCAATGAAATTTTGCAAGTTTGTTCGAGCCGTATTTCGAAGCCACATCCTTGCATGTTTCTGCCTCCCGGAGCAGCGGAGATGCAGAACTCAGCTCTGCCAGTGCCACCGCCATGCAGCTGTATGGCCTTCTGACAGAAAGAAGACTCATTACCAAGTGACCTCAAAGTTCAAAGCCTGCCCTGCTTGAGATATTTGGAACAGCATGCAACCACACTCCAAGCCAGCTTGGTTTGGTCCACGGTATCCGAATTGGTTTGGTCCACGGCATCCGAAGGTCAAACCAATTAATTGCTTCAACGGGCCAGGGTGCAGCGATTTCGGAATGAACTCAACTAGGTAGCCAGTTTTCCTCACGAGCTGCTTCGTCTGTGGAGCCAAACGTCACAGCAACATCAGTGTTACGTGTCCAGCATATTTGCGTCAAATGTAAGCAGACGATAGGTCCTGATTCCGGGCGTCCCGGAGGAGTCTGAAGCACCAGGAACCATCTGGAAGCTGATGCCTGGGACAACGAAGGAGATGCCCAAGCAATGGCCTCACTTTGGAACTTGGGGGGGCTGCATTTCCAAACTGAGAAAAGACGAGGCCACAAGCATGTACTCTCAGCTAGGGATGCTCGCGCTCGTGCGTGTGCGGTCTGCTGGGAGTATCTTAGGTATAGCCGAAGCTGAACATAGCTGAACTGTATCCGGAATGTCTCAGCTGGCTATGGTCTGACTGAGTGCCAACTGCAAAGAGTTGGACACCAGCGGCCTGAACCCTGGGCCCAAACCCCTATAAATGCAACGCAACATAGTGACATAGTGCAAACAAGACACGAAGGGACATCGTCTGCGGAATTTGAGCATCCTCCACGTCTCATGGTAACTTCGAGTTGCAGCTGCATGAACCTCCAATTTCCCCCGCAGCAACGTCCTCCTCACCAACAACGACAGCCAATGGCTGAGCATTACCGTCGTCACCGACGAGATCAGCATCTACAATGCCTTCTCAGACGAGCTGCGCTTCAAACCGCACTGGCCCCATTGTAAACTGTGGGGAAACATCTGGGTGACCGATGCATGTCACCGCAATGGCACAAAGTCCCGGGAACGACGAGCCGCCTGCATGGCCACGCCAACCGATACCTCCGCTGCTTTGCTGCGCGGGGAGGCGCAAACACAACCATCCAGAACTCCACTCCGTCGGCCCATCTTCTCCTGCCGGAAGATACGATCTGCAAGCAAATCTGCTGCTCGTAGGAAATGGCCTCGAATCAAGCCGCGCATCTTCATGCGATGTGCTGATGCAAGAGCGCTGGGCACCACGAAGGAGCCCACCCCTGTTTCACCTGAAGACAGCCGCTGTGAGTGACACACCCATCCAACTTTGATGCCGAATCCTGCCCAAATGCGCAATTTGGAACAATCAAGCGGCTACAGCAACGAGAGCTAAAGCAGGAGGGAGCTCCGGAGCAGGAAGTGAGAAGTGGCAATATCAGGCAAAGCGCTGACATCATGAGCCGAAGATAGCCGAGTAGAACCAAGTCATGCAGCATGATGAGAGTGAGGATCGAGGGCTCGGATTCATGCTGGAGACAAGGTTCGTATGAACCACAATTCGATAATTCCAAGGCGGCCATGGATGCAGTACGGGCATCGCAGCTGTTAAGGCTGCGGCCCCATGTGATCTCGACATTCGAGAGGATTCTGGTGTCATCTTCATCTGCAGCACTTGCTGCAGCCTGAGAATGAAGACATAACATGAAGACGTTCTGGTTCTTCCTTCAGAGCGCCTCCAGCTCAACTGCAGGCCGCCAGCTAGCCATGTAGTCTGCAGTGCTGTCCCAGTTTACCACCTGGTGCAACAATCAGTCCTCACGCTCTTTCGCTGCTGAGTTCTCTCATGAACAATCACTAACACGGAAAACTGAAGACCATCGAATCAAGTCAAGACATGCCACACACATTGGTGGCACAATGCAGAGAGATGTCACATCTGGCTTTATGGTAAGTTTACACTCAAGAAAACGTTGCCAATTCGAACCGAGCGAGTAACCAAGCACAAAAACTCTGGCGAAGTCTGCCGTGATGTACCGTGACTCAACATCTTCACCTTGCAGGCTTATACTGTGCTTGCTCTGTCATTGTTCCGTAAGATCGTGGTTTTCGAGAAGCCCTACAGTTCTACAACACTTTGTCTGCACCAATCAAAGTATTGGGTCTTTTGCCGCCCCCTCCCCCCACCAAACGATTCACGATATCCTGTCGTCTACTTTGAGCGCATTCAGCTATACAACTCCAGCTGCTACTTGGCGAGGCATCTGTCTTGCACGGTGCTGGCCATCCGAATGATAACATGTGCAAAACTCAGAATCAAGTCCCGCACTTCTTCACCTCCCTGCTTCGCCGATGCGGCTGACCCCGGCAACGATAGGGGGTGAAAGGAGAGGAAACCAACTAAAACAAATATCAAGCGCAGCGCAGCTCACACAGTCTCCCCTCCTTTGCCTTCAGCCCATGCCCTGAAACTAGAGTGCCAGCGAAACTAGCGCACCTCGCTGGCGGCAGGCATCGGGGCTGCTGCAGCAAGCAGCGCCTTTCATCCCGCCAGGTTTTGCAGGTAAGGTTTTCGTGTTAACGTGCCGGCCTTTATGACGAAATTCGTTTACCACGCGACTGTTTCACCTGATAATTCTTCAATAATTCCACGTGCAAACGCAACAAACGGTTTGGACCTGCTGGGCCCTTCACCCAGGTCCCACTTGCAGGTTTCAGGGCCGCAAGTTTGTGGTTCGAGAATCCTGCACAGCTTTCCGGCTCTGACGACGTCATTGCGACTGAAATCATGATCGCCCTGTTAAGGTGCCGAGTAATTCCAACGCTTGATCTGATGCTCCCAAGCTGAGGGCTAGAATGTCACTTTTCCTGATGTGAGGTCCGACGCGGCATGTCGTGAGGAAAACAAGTTGGCCTCGGAAATTCGAGTCGGATCACGAGAGCTCGATCGGCATTTTGGCTGCAGGCCACAAGCTCTTTTGTCAGGTTTACCGAGGCACCGCCGTTTCGCAAGAAACGCGACGCTGCAGCAAGTTTAGAAGCATGAAAGTAAGTGACATGTCACAACGGACGTCGTTCTGCCTCCGGACAGAAACAGTGAGGTCCAGTCTCTGGCCGACGATGGTCTAGACCTTCGCATTTTGTGCAGGCCCGTTGAAGTATGCAACCCCAGCATGCTCCAGATGTACAGGAATCTTGGCCCAAAAAGGTTCAATTTCGACTGATGGGCTGTGACTCGGGAGAGCCCATCAAGCACACTGCACAGGCCCACTTATGTAGCTGACTCACCGGAGCTGTGCGGCGAGGCTTCCGCCTCTTACAGCATGCAAAGACCAGCACAAGAACACATGGGGGCCGTGCACAAGCAAAGCTTGTCAGCGAGCACCAGCGCTCGCACCTCATGCTCATCTGCCTTATGTCAACTTCACATCATCTGGCTGTGGTGAGGAGGGTGGCTGCATCCAACTTCAATACAGCAACCTGGCCATCTCTCAGTTGACAAGGTCCGACTTGAACATGAAGAGGTAGGCTCCGCTGCAAACATATCTTCATGGTCAGAATCCCTCGCAGGAAAGCAAGGTCAGCGTGCATGGCAAGTCCCTTGCGAGCGTGTCTCCAGACCAACCTAAAATTGCAATCTCGGTCCTGGCAGCAGCGTCGTCTGCTCCCAATTGCCGGCACCGTCAGTCAAGTGCCTGAGTAAGGCGAATGGGTTGAGTCTCTGAGCAGCACAAGATATAAAACGTTATGGCAGTGACAGCAGTGACATGGAGGCAGCGACGCATTGACCCCAGCCGGCTCGGAAAGCGGAGCTTAAGGGAGACTGCAAGCTTCCGACTCAGCTGCGAACAGCAGGTTCTTGTTGCCCGCATGGAATTCAGTGGGCTTAGCACCTTCTCTGCGCAATGGCAAACGAGAAGCTGGTTAGTGCTTCATCCTCGCAAAAGGAAACATGTGCTTGCCATGGGCTTTTGCTGAGGACAGATGCAACCAACAATATCAGTCTGCTACATGGACGAAGGAATCAAGGAAACCTGAAGAAGTACAAATACTTACACCCTAATTCCTGATTGACAGAGTTCCGGATCACGATTAGATGTTGTTCTGAATGGGGTGCTCTCTTAGATTAGCATGCTGCCTCATCCAGTCCAACTACCACTGATCACACGTGGAGAAGACAGCAGCTTGCGAGTGCTGCAAAAGAGCACGTCAACGACTTTCGTACACTGCATCAGCCTCCAGGCGTCGGTCTGATGCACTGACACTATCCGGGTTCCAGGCGCAAATCGACCACATGGAAGCGCCAGCGAACAGTGGCTTCTCGACCTACAGCGAATGTAGAATCAAAGAAAGCACGCGCCGATGACGATGAGGCCGACAGGTCTCGCACCTTCACCCCACGATGGAGGACCAGCTGGGTGCAGTAATGACCACGGCAGAAGTTCCACCTCTTTGACAAGCTTACCAAGGATTCTCCTCAATGCACCGCGCTGTAGTGGCTGTAGTGGGAAGTTACAGGATGCAGAGCATAAATGAATATTGTTGCTGGCTGTCACAGCTATGCCCAATCACCCAGCATCGCGCAGCCTTGTCCCAGCTTCCACTCGCAGAAACACCTGGCACAGTGGACTAGCCACGCCTGCTCAACGAACACATTGACGCTAGAAGTGTCAACGGCCCTCTTCCGCAAGCAGCTTCTTCGACGGTGGCCAAACACACGCAACGCTGCGACATGCCTGCTTCAAAAGCCTGTCCGTAGTTTGCCACGGCACTCAAAGGTGAGAGCCCAAGCGCTAGGCCTTCGAGTCTCTTGCAACACAGCAAGTGGCAAATGAGCTTCGGTGATCAAGGAGACAACAACGATGTCAATGTGCATCGGAGTCATGTTATCGTTTGCATCATGATCACTTTGTCCTGACTGTCGTATTGGATGGGCAGCAATCAGCAACTGGCGAACTCCAAATTCATACACTCGCTGTGGATGCTGTGCAGCAATGCATCTGCATCAACCCTGCTCGTCCGGCTCCCTCAAAAAGGTGATGCAAGCTGCTCCATCTTGACTATCCGTGTAGATTTGACTGCAGTGGCAAGGCCCACAAATCCCGACTGGCTTACGATATCTTGGCCTTCTCCGGACACATCCTTGACAGCTGCTACCAAATCACGTCCTGCGAAGACAGGTCATGCTCACAACTGTTATGCACCAGAGTTGGGGAGCGGCTGCTGATGGACGAATCTTGCGGAAAGAAAGTTGCATCTCGGAACTTGATCTTGAGCTATTACGGTTCATGATTCGATTCATGATTTTCCCGAGAGGTTGCCAGCAGCATCATCGTAGTCGTAATCGTCGTAGTCGTCATCGTAGCCGTAGTGGTGGAAGTAGCGGTGGTGGTGGTGGTGGTGGTGGGCTTGGTGGTGGTGGTGGTGGTGGTGGTGGTGGCGGTGGTGGTGGTCGCAGTAGCAGTAG